CAGATAACATGTCTTTCTGCTGATACATTGGGTAATTCAGTTTCATTTAGTGATCATAATAATCTTATATATTTTCTTTTTTCAGTCACTGAACAGCAGATTTCTGAGAAGTTGAAGATTATTATGAAAGAAAATACAGAACTTGTACAGAAATTGTCAAATTATGAACAGAAGGTATAATTATTATTTTATTTTTTTCCCATGGTCCCAGATTGAATTATTTTCACCTGTCTTATAGTTCAGTTACTATGGTATTTAAAAATAATATTTATTATTCCATTAATTCCTATAAACAATCCAGAGCTTAAGCAATCATGTGTGTAAAGTACTGTTTTCTTCTATAAGAGGTCAGTCATTTCAAAGTAAGTTTCAGTAGCACAATACTTTGTATTTCTTGATTCTGAATGCTTTATTTTTTGCAGATCGAGGAATCAAAGAAACGTATTCGAGAAACCAGGAAACAAAATATGATTCTATCTGATAAAGCCATTAAATTTAAGGTGAAACTTCTTTTGGGGATTACATTTTTAAACAAAAGTAAAAATTAATGAATATAACTAATCTTAATATCTTTTTTGTAGGATAAAATCAAGACACTTGAAAAAAATAATGAAATTCTGGGTGACACAGCTAAAAATCTTCGTGTTATGTTAGAATCTGAGAGAGAACAGAATGTCAAGAATCAGGATTTGGTAAGAGTTTTGCTGTTAAGCGTTACTAATAATTTGGTTTTTGAACTCTGTAGATGAATTTGAACTTTTTATTTTCCATAGTGTTCTGTGAAGTAAGAGTGTGAGTCAGGGAAGTTGAACTACTTCTGTCCATTTTTGTGGGATTTTAAGTACTTACGCAAGAAGTTACTCTTATGGGCCTAGGAAGTATTTTGGTTCTCAACCCTAGGTAATTGTTGTATTGCTTGGCTCTACCCTCTAAAACATGTGGAGCAACTAAGAAACCACAACCCAGTTGAATAGTCTTTTTGTTTTGTTTTGTTTTGCAAAGTTTTTTTTTCCACTGTAAACATTTTACTTTATTAATAGAATAGTTTCAGAATGACATAAAAATTGCAAAGATAGTAAAGAGGGTTCCCATAAATCCCACATCCTATTAATCTTGACGACCTGACTGAGCTTAGTATTGCCAGGTTTCTTCACTGTAAAATTACTTTTTTTTAACCTTTTGCATTATTGTACTCTTTGGAAGGAAGTTAGTATCACAGTTCACAGTTAAAAATGAAGGATTATGCTCCATCCCCTTGAGGAGCCAGAATCTTCATAAATTATTTGGAATTCTTGTATAGGCATGATCTGTCTATTCTCACTCCAATTCTACCATTTTTAATTTAGGCAAGAGAATTTTTAAAGTGCCTTGGGTTTTTTTTTTTTTTTTTCTCTCTTGCCCCAAGGGAAAAAAAACCACATGGATTTGAACTGGTTAACTTGAAAGTTTTTTCAGTTTCTTTTCTTTCATCTTTTAGTCTTGCCATGTACCACATTTTATTCTAACAAGGAAGGTTGTGTATGCCATGAAATACTTACACCTTTGGTTATTTTCCTTTACCTCTTTAAGTTCTTGATTTTTCCCTAGGGCAAAACTGAAAAACCTGCTTTTACCTGAAACACAGGATGTCTCTGGGATTTACTTCGTTGATTTTTCCTCTTTTTAGTGTATATCCCAGTGTTTCTACTGAAATCCTAATATGCATTTCATGTTCTGTTTTTACATGGCAGATATCAGAAAACAAGAAATCTATAGAGAAGTAAAAATATGTTATTTCCATGAATGCTTCAGAATTTTCAGAGGTAAAGATGACTATAATTCCTGCAGGATATTAAAACTATATCATAGTTTTATTGAGGAGCAAAAATTTGACACTTGCTAAAATGTGCAAAAAATGAAAACTACCTGATGCTGGGTTGGGAAAGTAACTTTTTTTGGTTTTCTTTGGAATTAATTCACTAATAGGAGTGTTTTGCATTAGGTTCAGATTTCACTTAATGAAGCTAAACTTAGTGAAGAGAAAGTGAAGTCTGAATGCCATTGGGTTCAAGAAGAAAATGCTAGGCTTAAGAAGAAAAAAGAGCAGGTAAAGAAAAGTACATGTCCTGGGTCATGTAAAATAGAGAACCCAGTATCATATCACATGAATACCTTTTTTCAGATCTATTTTTAAGGTAATGTACATGCAGGATTCTGTTCTTAGATATTGAAAGTTTAAACTATACTTCCAAAATTGAGTATAGTTATACACTTTCTGTCTGTTTTGGTTTTTCTGTTCTGTACAATTTATTTTGCCCGTCAGAGTGTTTAGTCTTTTTTTGTAAAACACCAATTACTATTAACTTGAGTAGCCTTAAGTGGGTAATAGAT